AGAAAAGATGTACAGGTTCGTAAGTGCTTGCGTAAGTGCTTTCGTGAATCTGGCCCCCTGGGTCTGACAACTATCTGTGTATGAACAAGCAGGAATGAATGGACACATACACACCCGATGGTCAGTTTAATATGATAAGTTTATTGAATTATTTTTCAGTATCAAGCTTCTACTCTATCTTCCCTATCTAGGCAATTAGAATTCTTAATGCTTGTGATGTTGACACGAGGTCGGGGCTTCTCTGACCTTGTCGTACCTTCCTGGGGCAGTGTCAGGGGGGGGGGGGAAGGGGGAAGGTTCCCTACATGTCTTCCTTTCAAGTTACCTCAACAACTGTCACAAATGGTCATGGTGGCCAATGGTCTAAATGGTCAGTGGCCATGAAGGTCAATGGTGTTAATAGTTAATGGTCATGATGAGTGGTATTGATGGTCAATCTGTGGTTCGTCTTGTAGACGCCAAGTGGTTCATTGTGTGGTCCACTGTGCGGTTCACGTGCGGTCTACTGTGGGGTTCACCGTGCGGTTCACCATGGGGTTCATTGTGTGGTCCACTGTGTAGTTCACCGTGCGGTCCACCGTTTGGTCCACGTGCGGTCCACCGTGCGATTCACCCCGCGGTCCTCCCCGTGGTCCACCCCGTGGTCCTCCCCGCGGTCCACCCTGCGGTCCACCCCGCGGTCCACCCTGCGGTCCACCCCGCGGTCCACCCCGTGGTTTACCCTGCGGTCCATCCCGCGGTCTACCCCGTGGTCCACCCCGCAGTCCTCCCTGCGGTCCACCCCGCGGTCCACCCCGTGGTCCATCCCGCAGTCCTCCCTGCGGTCCACCCCGCGGTCCAGCCCGCGGTCCACCCCGCGGTCCAGCCCGCTGTGGGTGTGAGGTTTGCTGTGCTTGGCTCTCGTCAAGGAGAAGATGAGTCAGGAGTCGCTCTCGCTGTCTGAAGCCTCACAGATTGCTTCTCCTATAAATATCGAAGATTTGTAAACATCTTTTGATTTAACAAATTCAGCACCAGGTTACCCGGTGCTGTACCCGGCCTGTATGTAGACCTGAACGGCTTCTGCTGTATGGGAATGTATCTCTGGGAGCTGTGTACTGTGTTCACCACCACGTGTTCGCAACTTCAGCCAGCTGCGTTTCTGAATGGAAAAACACTTTTACAACCAGTTACGTCGGAACTATTTTTCGAGCAGTATCTCATTCACTTCCTACGTTCGAAACGCCATCACAAATGATTGCAATTCGAACATTTTTCGAGCAGTGGTTCCCCTCCACTTCCTGTGACAGAGCTGCACTTCTCCACATGTTTCACATACGTTTTTGGAAACACAAATAATTGTCAACGGAACTCACACCTTAACTTTTAATTGTGTGGCGATATGATAGTAGGCTTAGGAGACGCGAGGGAGTGGTGCTAGTTGGATATGTGGGGGGGGGGAGGATGTGCTACTAGCAGGAGCAGTGAGGGGCGAGGAACTAGCAGGGAGGCGAGGAACTAGCAGGACAGGTAAACAAGGAGTTCCTGTGACCACCACACCACCAATACAGTCATCTAGAGCATCAAGAACACCTTGTTACGCCACTGGCACGGGGGGGGGGGAGGGCCCACAGTGGGTGCTGGCAGCGTGCCTGTCTTGTGGCACCCTAGAGGGAGAGGGAGAGAGAGAGAGAGGGCCAGATTAGTGCCGCCCTCTACGGAAGTGCCATGCCACAACTATTCCCATTTTTGCTTGTGTCTTTTTGCTGTGGTCTCCCAACCGGCTCCGCCACTCTAGCTACGGTAGTCTGCTGGGCGCTTTTTGTGTTGGCCAGCTGCTCGGATGAACCCAAGTCTGTACAGCTGTGTGACAAGTGTACTTGTGCACCTGTTGTCTCATATCCATGTGCGTTTAAGTGTGCATTCTTCATTCAATTCTTGAATATGTGCGTAGATGTGTACAGTAGTCGTATGTGTACACAAATTTTGCATCCATATAAGTACAAAGGTCTAGCCTTGCATCATCGTAATCACCACCGCTATCTGTCTGCTTCAAATATGTCCGATACGCGGCGACAGTATATTTGTCAAACCTGATCGTCCTTGTGGAAAACCACGTTGTGAGATCATTCATTATAACGGGGGTTTCAAGATGAGTGCGAATGACATATATGCGATTATCGATTTAATAAATTTTCCCAGAATTAGGTGTTAGACCAATTGGACGATAGGTTGTTTATTGTGGTCTATGCTTCGTTAAAAAGATCAGGGAATACAATAGCAACCCGCCACACTACTGACACAGTGCTCAGCTTTCATCATTTGTCTCCAAGGGTTGACTAAGCTCCTCTTTACATTCTTTTAAGACCTCGGCCGATATTTCGCCATGGTCCAGGGACTTGTTAGGCTTCAATGTTTGAATAATTATTAACTTTAAAGTTTATAGTTAACGTGTTAACTATATATCATATATATATATATATATATATATATATATATATATATATATATATATATATATATATATATATATATATATATATATATATATATATATATATGTCTTTATTATATATTGTTGTTTTGGGACTGCTGCTCACTCACGGCAGTCGGCGGGTGGTGAGCCCGCCAATCAGAGCCGCTCCCACCACTAAACTCAGGCGATGATTACCTAGGTCATCATCAGGGCAGAGTCAGTCTGGGCTCTTGGTCCACAGAGCAATATCCTCCTCTTAAGAGCTTCACTTGGTCGTTAGTGTAACCACACTTGCAAGAGTCCCGTCTCACCACACAGGGAGAAGTGTCCATTCTGGAAGATGTCTCGTTAAACATGTTGGAGAATTATGCTGTGTTATGAGAAGATAAGGTGCGCGGTGAAGGATAAGATTGGCGTTTGGTCAGCAGTTATTCAGTGCCATAAGACGTTTGAGTATTGTCCTGGTGGTGCAAGATAGACACCTGTACGATGGATATTTGTGCAGAGGAAATTACAAGTTGCTGTACTCTTCAGGCAGAAAGAAATTGTTTCCGGAAGAATGATTATAGAGTAAATAGTAAGACAGAAGGGAGATGGCGGTTGATAATGTATAGTATCAAGGCGATAGACATTTGCATATATTACATACAATCTATATGTGTGTATGCATGTATACGTGTATATAGTAGTAGGCATCCATCAGTCTTAGGAGACTATGGAGTTGCGTTCTGGTTGTCGGTCTGGAATGGCCTCCCCAGGGCGTAAAGCCAGGGTAGGGTGATACTGGGGGAGAAGCTGTTACCCATGCAGCGGGGTCCCCCCCTCTCTCCACGACGCCGAAAGTCTCCAATGGAAAGGCAAACGTCAATACGATTGGTTCCAGCGCCGTCGCAGGAACTGTCAGAACGAGGTTGAAGGTAACAACGAACTACCCCCAGGGGGGCTCCAGCTCCTGAGTTCACCTCGAAGTTGGTGCAAGAAGGCACAGGGACTCCCAACCCGGAGACCGCCGTGGTCGGGGCCGGAGAAGAACCACCCCAGCAAGGGTAACAACGACCCCAGCCTCCTGAAGCAGAGCCTGGGGGGGTCGCACGAGCCCCGGGAGGTGGACCAAGTCCCGCACCTACGGGTTCCAGGCAGAGCTCCCAGGTACAGCTCTGTCTCCAGTTGTAAAACTTCGGCGTCCTGGAGAAAATATACATTAAATTCTATACTGAAATAGTTGTACACGGTATTTGGTACGAATGTTTATACACTTGCATGAACCCATTTCTTGCACCAACGTCTAAATAAGTAATCTTAGGCACAATATACACCAGTTTAGGCCTAATTGATCACATATGCTGTAGTAGGCCCAGGAAAGATTAGGTCGGGTTGTTGCTCTCTTCCTAGTGCCTTGTGTTCAGTGGTACACAGCGCGAACTTCTTCGATGCGCAACAGTCCATTTTTGTACGTTCGACCAAATCTTGAGATGAGATGATTTCGGGGCTGTAGTGTCCCCGCGGCCCGGTCCTCGACCAGGCCTCCACCCCCAGGAAGCAGCCCGCGACAGCTGACTAACACCCAATAAATGCTTTAAGAACTATCATTTCTGGACGACGGGTTATGGTGCAACCATTGCTCACTGTTTTTTGTATTTCACTTATTTGTATTTTGAATTTATTATATTTGTATTATTGCTTCTTTATGCACGGATTTTCTGTTACTTTTTAATAAGTGGACAACTTTCCCTATAGCGTAGTCGGTTCACAACCGAAAGAACCCTGGTTCGATTCCCGCGGCAGGACCGAAACGTTTGGGCAACGTTGCCTTTTACCAGATGCATATGTTCACCTGGCAGTAATATGCATCTGGAAGTTAGTCAACTGTTGTTTGTTGCATCCTGGGAGAAGAATGTTATTGGCCCTGGATACCCTTCATAAGCCTAAACTGGCTGCCTCTCCCCCAACTATGGGGAAATTGGGAAGTCATTTGAAGAATGACGATGATGTCGTTTTAAATATCTCAATAATAGAGTATATATATATATATATTAAATATCTTTAATAACGGATTAACTATAACTGATTTAAGTATAATGTTGGGGTGAAAGGCTTCCCCCCCCCTGTGTGGAACTGGAATTGTCTTAGTGACGTCACACAGCTCTTGCGTCCCCCCACCCCCCCCGCCACCAATCCCTGACATACACACACACACACACACACACACACACACACACACACACACACACACACACACACACACACACACACACACACACATACATACATACATAAAACACTTTTCATCTCTCAGGTTCAACTCTAGAGCCTAACTCTCAAGATTTAGGTTCAGTTGTTGCCTTTTTCTCTTGGACCTTATATCAAATTAATAGTATAGAAAGGACCCTTTGAGAGGTTCAACAGTTCATATTTTGTACATTGCTTCCAACTAACCAGATGTATCATAATTTTGTGTATGACAGGGAGAGATGGTGGCCCTTCTGTGTTGTACCTGCATCTTGACTCATCCTTCTCATTAACAGCAGTCATTTGTCTTCGCCAGGTTGAGTAAAAATGGAGCCGGTGCAAGACTTCAGTCGCCTGCGGGTCACAGACTCTCCTCAAGAAGGGCTACAGAAGACCCACGTCACGTCAGGAAAGGTTTATTCCTCCATCGGCCGGTCGCAGTCACAAGGCGTCTCTCACACAACGCAGAGCAACTTACAAAGACCTCCGCCTCCAAATTATCCTTCTGAGGAGCCCCACTTGAACGTAGGAGACGTGGCCAGAGGAAGGACGAGTGGGATTCCAACAGAATCCTACAGTAGTCAGGGATACAGGAAGTCCCGTCCTCCTCCGCTGTACCATGAAGCTGTTAGTAATCTCAACCGCATGAACAGTTACAATCCCGAGTCTAATCTTCAGAAGTTTGCTTCTGAGACGTCATTGTTGAAGGGTATTGGGGAGGAGGAGAGGTACCCCAGTGTGGAGCCCGAAGGCTATAGGGGCCGAAGTCACTCCAACGCCGCCTGCATCAGTCGTCCTCTTGACATCCCCAAGAGGTCCCGACCTCATGAACACACGCTCAACTCCTCAATGAAAGCACCTTTTTCACATCTGAATTCCATATTTCAACAGCAGCCATCTCTCAAAGGCGCCAGTTCGACTGAGGCAAACACTGTTATGGTCCAGCAAAAATCCCAGATGATTCATCGATCACAACAGTTCAGGGACGAGCAAAGACAACGAGGAAGTCTTCCGATCCCAATCAGAAATAACTTTCGTTCAAAAAGTCCAAGCATTGACTGTATTGTTTCTGAATCGATCAATGCAACGTCCAGTAAGTTTTTTGCTTCCAAAAGTCCCAGCGTTGACACCTGTTTGGACCGTATATTAAATCCATGTGATGCTAACTTTTCCCATGCTAGTTGGCGGGACCAGGATATACGAGGTACAAATCATCTAACAGTGCACAGTGCTAAGCATTTCCGTAGCAAGAGCCCGAGTCTAGATGCCGGGGTCTTCCTTCAGGCTGTGCGTGGCGCGAGCCACATGGAATATCCGGGGGACAAACAGTATTCTCAGCGCCCTCTTGCAAATACCACTTTGTCCGAGTTCAAGGTGGAGTCAGTGGGTCAGGGCGCAGCTAGCCGCAGTGGAGATAACTCGTTATCAAACCCATCACCCGGTGGTCTGGAACGGCGCCCGAGCGCCCAAAGCTTACCTGACCTCTCTGGACCAGCCCTAGATGATCTCTGCCCCATCACTGGACCTTCGGCTGCTTGTAACACCCGCCCCTTCAGCCCCCCAACCTACACAACTTCTCACTATTCGCCTCAGGGACACCAGTCACAGCTACACACCGAAGGCTACACCTCACCGCTACTCACTAGCAAAATCACTTCGCAACATCTATCAAAGACTACAAATACGGAGAGACAGAGATTTCCATCTCGCCCATCTCTGCAGACATCCCCAAGCCGGGATATTCCTGGAGCCAAGGGCGACCAGACCTCGCCTCCTCCACCATACTCACGCCACCGGACACAGGGGGACGCGAGCAAAGGATCCCTCCTGCCGGGGTTCGAGAGAGTCATGCCCACGTTGGAAACACGACCGGTTGTCGGAAACTCCAACCTGGTGGTCAGCCGTCTCAGCAGCAATACAGGTCAGTTTATCATTACTTTGTGTTTACTGGAATTTATCTTCTGGTTATTTTAGCGTCCCTTAGATGTTAAAATCTCATTAGCATGGCCTATCTTCCTTCGAATGTTAAATACTGAATCTTAGTTTATTCGTCGTTTATTCGTCAAACTAAATTTTGGTGCATGACGCGCTCTCTGGCCGAGTCGCGTCATGCACTAAAATTTAGTTGAATAATGTCAGTGTAATACACAGGAAAACCATAATTGAGTCGTGAATACTAAACCACACACCAAAATGTGTAAACCCAGTCTTTGAAAATGTAAGAAGCCTTACGAAACGCTTCTAGGCGTCAGACCAAAAATAAAAATGTAAAATAATGAATTTTGGAGAGTTAATTTTATATATATATATATTATATATATATATATATATATATATATATATATATATATATATATATATATATATATATATATATATATATATATATATATATATATATATATATAATATAGTGTGTATAATTATGCTAACATGGAAGGCAGGCTGGGAAATACAGTAAGTGCCTATCACTGTAGTTCCCGCGTGGCTGTATCTTGACACCCTCCATGTTCTCCACAGGAGAAATTAATCAATCATTTCCTCTCGTGTCCTTCGTCTTCTTGAAGTTATGGTCACACGCGCGTGAAGCCACCTTTGAGTGTGGTTCTGTGAGCGCAGCGCGTGCTTCTGCCACAGCGGGTTAAGAGACTTGAACGCATCCACCTGGCGCGCCAGCTGTGACAAGCATAAGGCATCACGATCCATCTTTTCCTTTGACTTGGCAAGAGACAATGGTGTAGCCGGGCGCCTCCCCCCCCCACCCGTCATAACTCAACACCACTGGCGTAACTCAACACCCGCACAGCGACTTTGCTCTGGTCTTGCGTACAGCGCGGACTCATGCAGGATTACGCGCCCCGCCGCTATAAAGTCGCAAAGAAAAACAAACGGAGAGGCACGCCCCCACACCCCGCGTGGAGAGCGGTGGCGGGCACGCCTCAACCTCAGCTGGGTTACCTAACACCAGCAGGAGTACGTGGATCATGAGAGCATCGCGGCTGCCATCTGTAGGAGCAGCTGCCTGCCTGCCAGCCAGCCACGAGCTACAGCAGCCCTCGTGGGGGGCAGTCCACACTACCACAAGGGATATCTACACCCCTCAGCTGGATTCCATTTCATGGTGTATATTCACTGAGAGTTTACATCAGTCTTGGGCTAAACTTTTGCTGGCTTGGCGGTGAGGTCTTGTGGTGGTGTTAATAACCCTCCTTGATGGACCACCACACCCAGAACCTTTGGCCAACAACCCCGTACACCGGCTCAGCCTACTACACTATAGTCCCGGTTTCTGTTTTGGGTCTTCTAGTTCGCATTTGTGTTCCTCACGTGTACCCCAAAGAATGAGGTGCTTTGATAAAATACCATGCCCAAGAATACCATCAGAGTGCCCGCGGGGGGATGGGGAATTAGCCTTGGCTACCATCCTCTTTTGTCCGGTCGTGTTGGTCGAGTGGTTAAGGTGTCCTGTACGCCAGATGCAGAGTGCTCTTGGCAGTATGGATTCGAGTCACTTCGGGGGTGTGAGTTTTCAGTTGCATATATGCCTGGAGACCGTTCAGGCTTGTTCGCACATTATATATATATATATATATATATATATATATATATATATATATATATATATATATATATATATATATATATATATATTTATTTATTTATTATAAGGAGAATCAGTATTTCCCAGTAGGAGGTGTACCGCGCGGGTTGAGAGTCATTGTGTCGCCAACAGATGGCAGCATGTACCAGGCTGAGCCGCGTGTCCTGTCACTGGCCAGTATTCACCCGTTGTGGCGCATTGTTCAGTAATGTTGTTAATCACTGTACTACATCATGTTTAACACACACACACACACACACACACACACACACACACACACACACACACACACACACACACACACACACACACACACACACACACACACACACACACACACACACACACACACACACACACACACACACACACACACACACACACACACACACACACACACACTATAAATATATATATGCCTCTGAAGTTAGTTTTGGTGTTGTGTCCACTTGCAAGGCTTTCCCGAGTCGTCACAGGTGGTAGGTAGTTTCCCCTTCAATGAGTTTGACCCTTTGGTCTCATGTCACCTGTTCCCATTTTCATAGCTTTACACTAGCTTGTGTTGAACCCCAGTAGCCATTTCTCCGACCATCTCTGCAACTTGTTCAAGACCTCTGAAGAATCTGTCTTCTCTTCATCCTATACTGGTCTTTGCACACCTGCTCCAGTCCTCATAACTTTGCGTGTTGCGTGGATTAAATTGTTGCCGTCATTTTTCAGACCACTTCTCGAGTATGACCAAATCCGTTTGCAATGCATCACTATCTCTCTCTGTCCTGACTTTTCTCATTATTTTTGTATTATCTACAGACAGTTTTCCCTGTCGGATCGTTGTCAAAGAAACAGGACGGGCTCTAGATCCGCCCCTTGTGGTACTCCACTCGTAACCTCTCTCTCCACTCTGATGTCTTTGCTCTCACTGTAACCCTTTGTTTCCTTTCTGATCGGTGCTCTCTGGCCCACCTTAGGACTCTTCCCGATACTCCAGCCTGCTTCTCGAGTTTGAGTTGAAGTCTCTTATGCGGGACAGTATCGAATGCTTTCCGACAGTCGAGGAATGTGCAGTCTGCCCATCCCTCTCTTGTTTGATTTGTCATCTTATTTTACTTATTAATGATACGATTATCTAGTTTAATGATTTCTGCTTTCTCCCCATTCATGTAGATTGGCACCACGTTAACCATCTTCCAGCTGTCGGGAAGTTCTCCCGTTTCTAGAGAGGAATTCAGTATCATAGGAAGAAGACTACACAATGCTTCAGCTTCCTCTTTTAGCTAAAATATCCAAAGCGATATCTTGCCTGGTCCAACGGCTTTTGTCACATCTAGTTCCTGGAGGCTTCTGTTAAGTTCCTCGCATATCCTTTTCAAGTCTGAGGAACCTGGTTGTTCATTGTCATCTTCCTCCTGATGTGGCCATGGGACAGTTTTGTCTGGGACTTAGCCCTGAAAGTAGTGTAATTCTCGTACTGCTTCTCTGCCACTTTCCTAGTTTCTGTGTACACATTTCTGACCTCTTTGTACAGTGTGATTTCCTTCTGTTCTGTGTTGTTCATAATTCGTCCATGTTCTTCTGATTTTATTTGCTTCCAGGCGTTGTCTTTGGAACAATGGACCAATGCTCGTCTTGCTTCCTTTAACCCTTAGTGGTGGTATACCTCTTTCTTTACCTTCGTTGAATTTGCTCGTTACGCTGTTTATCATGTCTTTGTGTGTGTGTGTGTGTGTGTGTGTGTGTGTGTGTGTGTGTGTGTGTGTGTGTGTGTGTGTGTGTGTGTGTGTGTGTGTGTGTGTGTGTGTACATGTAGCCAGCTGGGTGGATGGAGGCGTGTGTACACTATGAGGCGATCAGCTGGGTGTAAGATTGTGCCTCACTCTGTTTAACATAAATGTTGACGCTGGTTGTTCCCACACACGTAAACTACCGCCTTCCGGTTCACCATTCCTGTGTGTACTCACCTACTTGAGTCTGCAAGGTCGAGCATCTGCTCCTAAGCCCCACCTTTCGGCCATCATTAGGTCAGTGCAGTGACGCTGTTTCACTATGCTGACGTGTGCCTCTGATGATCTCGAGTTTTGTCCACTCCTAAATATTTCTATTTTTCCAGAAGTTGGAAGTTTCCATCCCTTCATCTTGTACTCTATCTGAGGTCTTTTTGCTCCAACTCCTATCCTCGTAAACTTGCATTTGTCAGGGTTAAAGTCTAGTAGCCATTTCCTCCGAACATGTCTAGAGATTGTCTAGTTCATCTTGTAGTCCTTTTCAGTTTTCATTGGCCCCCATTAATTAAGTATCGTCAGGAAAAACAGATAATAACGAGCTTACTTCCTCTTTACATCTAACTTCCATCGTTTACATATATTAGGACGAGGATGGGCCCAGTACCGACCCTTGAGGCACTCCACTCGTTACCTCTCAGCAAGCTGGTAACTCTCCTCTTACTATGACACTTTGCCTTCTTCCTGAAAGGCACTTCTTCACCCACTTTGCTACTTTTCCCTACACAGCAGCTTGTTTTCGGGTTTGCATACAAGTCGATAGTGAGGAACAGTGTCAAACGCTTTCTGGCAGTCCAGGAAAATGTAGTCTACTCAGTCCTTCCTGTCCCGTGTGATTGTTGTCATCTTGTCATTGTTGGCGAAGAACGATTTTCCTTTGCTGAATCCATGTTGATTCTTAGAAACAACATTTGATATGTTCTAAATGATCTTAGAAACAACATTTGATATGTTCTAAATGATCTTAGAAACAACATTTTATATGTTCTAAATGATCTTAGAAACAACATTTTATATGTTCTAAATGATCTTAGAAACATTTTATATGTTCTAAATGATCTTAGAAACAACATTTTATATGTTCTAAATGATCTTAGAAACATTTTATATGTTCTAAATGATCTTAGAAACAACATTTTATATGTTCTAAATGATCTTAGAAACAACATTTTATATGTTCTAAATGATCTTAGAAACAACATTTTATATGTTCTAAATGATCTTAGAAACATTTTATATGTTCTAAATGATCTTAGAAACATTTTATATGTTCTAAATGATCTTAGAAACAACATTTGATATGTTCTAAATGATCGACGAGCCTTCTTTTTTACTAGTCTCTCTAATATCTTACAGGGAATACTTGTTACTTGTTGTTGTTGTTAAGGATTCGCTACCTGGAACAAAACGATCCAAGTAGCACGGGCTATGGTGAGCCCGTATATATACTTGTTAGTGATACCGGTTTGTAGTGGGTCCTGTCTTCCTCCTTCCTTGTATATACTTATTGGGTTAAATATGACCGCATTGCTGGCGCTGTTA